CAGAAGCAATATGTGCTGATCGGGTTTGGAAGGTGGAAGTTGGACCTGTACGGTTTGTGTGGTTCGTGGACGGAGGACAGGAGCTGGAGTGTGCGTGTCTGCTGATCGCCACATGGGGGCAACAGATTGAAATACATTTGTGTAGCTGAAAGTCGGCTGAGCTTCTGGGATGAGTTCCAGTGCTGAGACACTGACGCTTTGTCCTGGTGTGAAGAAGGTAGGAGTCCTAAGTCACAACAGCCTGAGAGAATCTGGAGCTTTAAAGGACATTTGTAATTTTAGAGACTGTTGTCATTTGTGCAATTCGATTTCAGGACACAGATGCTGTAAAATCTCCCCTAAACATCTAAACGTGTACTTCTCATTTAGTTTTGTAAACATGAAACAGCTTTGTTTTTATTTGTTTTAATTATAACGGTAGGTCAGGAGTTTGTTGGTGTTTAAATGCTATACATTTTTTTTTCCAAATGTGAAAAAACTTTTACTCAGGATTTAGTGTATAGTTTATACTATTTGGGCTTCTGCAGAAACACGGTGCACTATTGACCCTTTGCACCAACGTAACCTAATCACATGGGTCCACCATGGTGGATGGCAAAAGCATGTAAACAGTGAGCGACACGATTACTAAACAAAGGGAAAAGTAGAGCCTGAAATTGTTTTTGCGATCAAAACAAAAACAAAACTCCTCCAGCATTCCTTCAACTAGTTCATGCCCAGTTCAGTTATCAGAAGAAGTAGCGCATCTAGCGGGGCTCATAGAGAGCAGTATGCTAACTAGCTTACCAACGTTAGCTTACGTTCTCTCTGCAGCTGTTCACCGATGTAAACATGTTGCTGACTTTGCCTAAATTCACCCGTCTGGATTTATACCTTTATGTTATAAACAGCATTTCACTTTACACCAAAGCTGATTGTTAAAAAGTCCGGATCCCTACCAGCTTCTGTTGCTGCTGGTGTTACCGGGTTCAGCTGCTGCTCTCACACCGGAATGAGAAGATCTCTGAACGCCGACGCTCATATAAATAAATAATGTAATTTTAACACACGTAATCATACACCGGAGCTTTAATATTGTTAATAATTGTCTCGCTTTACACGACAGGGGACAGAGCGCAGCCTCCGTGGTGAAATACCCATCCATCAGGATTATCAGTAACTAGTATAAACACATCACATTTATCCCTGTCCGTCTTCCTCGTGAAATAAATGAACGTTAATCTTACCCGGTAAAAACAAGTTTGCTGCAAATCTGAGGCCTGCTAGTGCGCTTGGTTGATTGATCGCTGCAGTTCACCTCCGTCCTCAGTCTCCATCAAAGTTATTCAAAAAAACAAAACAAGTTGAGTTTACATCCTTGTCTGTTAGTGCAGCCGACCACGCAGCAAGCTAAAACCATTTTACTGTCACATCAACTAAATAAAAGCAATAAAAGGCTACAAACTGGCTTGTTTTGACTAGCTTCACTGGAGTTTCTACGGGTGTAAACGGTCTTTTTGCCGCCCGTCATGGCGAAGGGGGCGGTCACATGAGTGGCGTGACGTCACGTGCAAAGGGTCAATAGCAGAGCAACAAAAGGGGAGCATCTAGCAGCTTTCAATCAAAACAAATGAGAATTTATTTTTAATTTTGACATTAAAACAAATAAAAACAAACAAATAAACAAACCCCTTGACATCAGAACTTAAAAAAAGTGTTTGTTTATTTGGGATCAGTTTTCCAGATTTTAGAGGTGATGAAAAACGTTTATTGACCTAAATAAGACATAATTTTGACAAGGGGAAACAAAATGATCTGGTAAAATATTGATTAAAATTCTAGATTTTTATTTTTGCTTCGTTCATTAGAACCCACAAGATTAAAGAAGAAGAAAACCAATCTTGTTATATAAATGTATAAATTATTAGACGCCACACGGCATGGTTTATGGGCAGAAGTCTCAACCATTTAATGCTAAACTGAACATAAATTTTTCGGTTTACCTAAATCTTCACATTAAAATGTTGGGATTATAAATCTGTAGAGCACGCAAGCCAGAAATCATCCCTGTGCAAACATATATGACCACAAAAACCACCAACAGGGCAGGGAGGGTGCAGAATCAAGCTAAGAAACCTAACAAATTGGTACTTTTTATTTTATATTATGCACTCATTCACCCTGTCAACTATGAGCTTACTCACTAACTCACGTTGTTGATTAGTTTTTGTCACCTTCAAGCTTTAAAGTCTAATCAAATGTGTATCTAAGCGATCTCCCTCTGGGAGATCTGGTTTCCTCCCACAAACCAAAAACATGGAGGACTGAGGACGCTGTGCTGAATGTGTTCTCTATTTGTACATAAAGATTTATATAATATGCACTATAAATATATACAGTTCACCCTGTTCAGAGGTTTCCAGAGTGTTGGCCTCTGCATGCTTGAAATAACTCCTTAAAAATGACATCTGGAGCATTTTGATTGATTGACTTTAGAGTGTCATCTTCTCGAAGGATTTGACCCATATTTAGTCTGACATGAGCATCTGCAGTAACATCTGTAAATGTGACTCGTTGTTACCAGATGACTGAAGATCAATGCTTTGTTCAAAGGAAGAATGGAATAGAAAGATGGATAAAGAGCACAGCTTTGAATTGTCCATGAAGCCAAAATATGTGTACCCCCCCAGTTTATTTATATGTATAGTTACAATCTGATTTAAGATAAAACGTCTGTTTTTTTATAACTCTAAAGAAATTTGAAAACCTTTTGGTGATTGCTTTCCATGTTTTTCTGTCCTAAATGTCCATTTTCTGCAGCGTTTTTTTCCATTGAAAGACTTTTGGCTGCTTTCATGCAGGTAAAAGTGTCAGCTCTAAATGTGAGTGTAGTTTTGCCTTCTTATCCGATCTCCCGAAGCCCATTTCTCCCATTAATCATCCATCCATCATCCATCCATCCATCCATCCATCCATCCATCCATCCATCCATCCATCCATCCATCCATCCATCCATCCATCCATCCATCCATCCATCCATCCTTCCATCCATTTTCTTCCACTTATCCGGAGTCGGGTCGTGGGGGCAGTAGCCTAAAGCCGGGCGTACACTGTGCGACTTTTTCACTTTTTTGAGCCGATTTTCCACTCGTGCGAGAATCCACAAGATCGGGGCGAGTTTTGCGCCAAGCGGTCGTGTAGTGTACAGGGGGTTATGAGAGGCGATTAACACCACGTGACCAGCTACCGATCACCAATCGTGAGCTCGCACGGACTTCTGGCGTGTTTAATATTTTGCTCGTCCCTCGTGAGGGTATCGCACTGTTGAAGCAGCGCTGCGAGCAGCTGCGACCCCAAAATGTATCAGAACCGCTCATGGCGCATGCGCAATCCTGCATCAACACCGCTCGCCCGCTATTTCCCTAATAACACACGTTGTTCGTTTTTATTTCTACACGTTTTTTATTCACAAAGATTGTCAAGAAAGCGTGTTTGTTGTGTTCATGTCAAATTAAACTGATCACAAAACACAGATTTACTTTCTTTATTTCGTTTTCCTCATCCAACCCCATAAATCCCTGTGTGTCCTCCTGCAGCACTCCTGAAGGACAACAGGCAAGACAAAAAAGTCTGATGTGTTGTGTAAAAACTGCTATTTTTAGCATAATTTTAGGTCCGGCGTGTTGCTACCAGACGTACAGTGTGAGCAGTCAGGTTGCATCCGAAAACTGGGTCGTGCAGTGTGAGCACACGACTCGTGAGATCTGCCCTGCGCGGAAGTCGTACAGTTTGAGCTGAAGCTGAGTGCTACGAGTGAAAAAAATCACACAGTGTCTGCCCAGCTTAAGTGGAGAGGCCCAGCCACTTGGGCCAGCTCCTCCGGGGGAATCCCAAGGCGTTCCCTGGCCAGGTGAGAGACATAGTCCCTCCAGCTTGTCCTGGGTCTCCCTTTAGGTCTCCTCCCGGTTGGACGTGCCCGGAAAACCTCACCAGGGAGACGTCCAGGAGGCATCCTGACCAGATGCCAGAGCCACCACAACTGGCTCCTCTCGATGTGGAGGAGCGGCGAATCTACTCCGAGCCCCTCCTGGATGACAGAGCTTCTCACCCTATCTCTAAGGGAGAGCTCAGCCGCTCTGCGGAGAAAACTCATTTCAGCCGCTTGTATCCACGATCTTGTTCTTTCAGTCACTACCCAAAGCTCATGACCATAGGTGAGGATAGGAACGTAGATCGACCGGTAAATTGAGAGCTTCACCTTCTGACTCAGCTCTCTCTTCACAACGACAGACCGGTACACCCCCCGCATCACTGCGGATGCAGCACCAATCCGCCTATCGATCTCATGCTCCAGCTTTCCCTCACTCGTGAACAAGACCCCGAGATACTTAAACTCCTCCACTTGGGGCAGAGCCTCATCCCTGGCCCGGAGAAGGCATTCTACCCTTTTCCAAATCAAGACCATGGTCTCAGATTTATAGACCCATTAATCACAAAAACATGTTATTCCAGACAGGAAAAAAACTACATTTTTTATTAGTATTTTTATTTTGTTCAGGACACCTTAGCTGGAGCCCCTGCTCTGGGAGAAAAAAAAGAGAAACACCTTTTTGTTGCTGATATATTAAGTCTGAGCAATGGTAAGTGCTTGTGCCTTTAAGCAATGAGAGTTTTTTTTATACAGCATTTATATACAGCATCTATACATCAAACCCTCCAACTTCTCTTGACTGTTAATGAAAGGAATAAAAGGCAGGTAGAAAGAACGTGAAACACAAAAAATGTCCAGAAAGCGCTTGGTTCAAATTGAAAGACAAAAAAAATAAAAAGTAAAAAAAAGAGCATGCATATAATCTTTGGGAATGGCTTTTGTTGAAAACATATTTTGTTTATTCTGCAGTTTTAAGAGGCTATTTTCACCTTGTTTGGAGAAAAGCACACTAGGACAGGAATGAGGGATGACAGAGAAACATCTAAAACCTGTAAGAAGGAAAACGACACAGAAGTGAGCACAAGAAGTCTGGATGTGCCAGAAGTCATTGTTTTATCTGTTTGAACTGAGGTCAGAGCAAATAGAAAAATCTTTCACAATGTTGATGTTACACTGTCTTCTTACTCACAATCTAATACATTCTAGAAAATCATTAGCCAACGGTAGTTTAAAACATAGGTTACCCGTGCTGCCTGCTCTACAGGCCAGCTTCAGTTGAAAAAAAAAGCCATCTAACTGGGATTTGGACCATTTATTTTAGTTGAGTAGGTTGAAAATCCTTTTGTTTTTGCTTCGTCTCTTCGTTTCTTTCTCAAAAAAAGTTGCATGTGATATTTCAGAGCATGCAAAATACACTGGAATGTATGTATTCACCTTAATGTTTCCTTAAATGATGTTATAAGTGCTAGTGTCACCATAGTGCGCAAATGTTTGCGATAAGCCTTGAAGCTAAATATTGAAAATATGTTGTGTTTCAGATCCATGTCCATTAGAGTGTTGAGCTGTGAGTGTACATTAATACCCTCATCGTTTGTGGAGTGTTGGAAAGAGGAAGTGGGGATATGGTCTAACACACATTTACAAAACTTTATTCGCCCATCTATAAACACACTCCTCCCCGTGAAGGCTCTACTTCTTCCTGTAGTTTCCCAGCTGGATGGCAGAGCGGTCGAAGACGCAGCGGAAGGTGATCGGCTGAACTTCCCAATAGGGAACGGGGTTGCTGAACAGGCTGATGCCGGAGTACATGGCCTTCTTGGTGTTGTAGCCGGGAGGACAGAAGTCTCCTGTTCCCACTACAGCAATCTTGTTGGCGTGGAGGTAGACCACCTGGGGAGGGGATTTAAATAATAGCAACATTTGGGTACCGAGTCAGACGTGTGTGGCCATGATAGAGGAATTTCCACACTAAAGCAAATGAAACCGATTCAACATCTCAGATAAGGTGAACATAAAACAAAAGAGATAAGATCGTCTATCCATTGATGCTCTAGGGATTATTAAAGGTTGTGTGAAAAAGAAACCAAGTAGAAGTCTTTCACCGATGTTTCATTCAGCTTTTCTAGACTGATACAAAGCAACCCCAGAGAATTCATGGGGTAGATTCATGTGAAGTTCCGCGCAAAGGCCTCCTTTCAGTTGGATATGAAAGAGATCCGTCTATGTTGTTGTAGGTACAGACAAAGGTAGCTTTTAGTTTATAACTCTTTCTTGATTTTAATTAAAATGTGTAGCTTTTAACGCCTTTGGGGGTTTGACTGTGAGCTTTGCTCCCTGTCTCTTTGAAACGTGACTTATACTTTTACAGCAGCACAGCAACACTGGCCTAGTCCACCGTTCTGCCCCAAGTCAGAGCAGGAGTCCCACAATACCTGAAGTCCAACACTTGAGGTTTGCACAAACCTAAAGTCATACCAACACGGTAAAAATAAACAAAACTCTCTCTAAACCAGAGGAATCATTGTGAGTTTTCAAACCTTTTCAAAAAGTGGTCCATTGCTTATAAATAACTACATCAGTACTTTGAATTAGATTTTTTAAAAATCTCTGTGTACCTGGATGTACTTGTGCTCGGGCAGGCCAGGAGGTACTGCGGTCAGAGCATTGTTGTCCAGGTGAAGTTCCCGCAGATGTGGAACGTTTGTGAGAGAGCCGTTTTCCACAGTGCTGATCTCATTGTAGCTCAAGCCAAGCCTGAGACGACAACCAGCACACAGACGCGTTACTTGTTGCAAACAACAACAGAACAAACTGTATGAATAATTAAGGACATTGTGCATCTTCCTGCTAGAGTTAACTATTCAAATTCATTAAAAAAAGAAAATAAAGCCAGGAAATGAACATGAAGACAAAATCAGAAGTATATTTTTTAAGGAAAATGTGGTTTTGTGCTTTGAACTTAGTAGGAAATTACAAAAGTGATGCTAGAAAACAAGAATTGTAAACACAGCTTAAATACTGTGTAGACCAGGGATGTCAAATAAACGGCCCGCGGGCCGGAACCGGCCCGCAAACGGGTTAATTCCGGCCCGCGAGATGGTTGTGTAAACTTTATTTTCATACTTTACAACGTAGAGTGAAAATAAACATATCTTTGTGAGCAAGTTTTCTCTGTAATGAGTATAAATAAAACAAAGCTGCACTCAAGGCTACACAAGAACTTGAATCACATCCTGAAGTTGGCCGCCACTCAGGATGTGACTTCTGATGTTGATGTGCTGGTGAAAGCTAAAAGATGTAAAGTAAAATGAGTCCAATATATTTTAAATGCTGCATGGAACTGATCTAGCCATGTGATCTGTAAGCTCTCTGAATCACTAAGGAATGTTTTTTTTTATTTATTAATTTTTTCTTTTTTTCAAATTTTCAAGTACACTTCAGGTGTTGTACTTGTACTATTTTGGATACACTGTCCTCAGGCTCCAGCCTTGTTTTATATTGATTGTATTAAAACAAAGAAAACAATCTGAAGTTGTTTTTAATTTACCGGTCCGGCCCACTTGGGACTAGATTTCCCTCAATGTGGCCCCAGAGCTAAAATGAGTTTGACACCCCTGGTGTAGACCTTTTCTGATCTTTACCGTTTCAGTGTTGGAGTGAGTTAAAAGCTAACGTGACCCGTGCCACTAAAGCTGAACAGATGTCACTACAGACAATGTTTTAGTTGTAGTTAAATAGGAGAACCATATCTGTCATTACTTGGCCAGGTTCCTCAGGCCTTTCAGGCTCTCGGCCGTCACTTTGGTGATCTTGTTTCCATCCAGGTGAAGCTCAGAGAGAGAGCTGGGCAGACCTGCCAACACACAAGAGAGGGATTAACGCCAAGAGAAAACTAACAGCAGTAACAACTCGTAATACAACCTTTTTTAATATTAAATCTCGACCCAATTATTGGTCAGTGTGTTTCCTGTTGTTTGGACTAATGTCTGTTTTGGATCGTGTTCAGACCTGACGCTATGGGCTGGTTGATCGCCAACCTGCATGAGCCAACTCAAAATAAACTTCGGAGGTCAAGGACATTTTCAACGACCGCTAAATCCACCAACGCTTCCAACGCTTTCCACCAAAGTGTTTCATCACTCTCGTGGTTTTCATAAAAAATGGGTTTTAAAAGGAGCATCAAAACTCAAAGGACTCATGGCTCTTAGGAGACTTCCTGAACAACATCTTACATCATCTTAGATCATATCCCAACAGTAAGTTTTGCTGCATCCCAGTTATTTCATGTTTGGTTTACTTTTTTCTGAAATGGCTTCTTTAGTTAACTTAATTAACCAGAGTAAGAGACTGAAACCTGTTCCTACATTTCAGGATTTTTTTTTTGGCAGAAGATTTGGCAGACCAGTGAAAGTCAAGCTAACACTCATCTCCTTCTCAGTGGTCTAGTGGTAGAGTGTGCACCCTGGGACTGGGATATCAGGCTTCAAATTTCGGTCAGGTCATACCAAAGACTTTAAAAATGGTACCCAATGCCCCCCTGCTTGGCACTCAGCTTTTAAGGGGTTAGAATGGGGGGTTAAACCACCAAATAGTTCCTGAACACAGCCACAGCTGCAGCTCAGCTCCCCACGAGGATCGGTCAAATGTAGAGACGAATTTCACCAGTGTGACTAATGGAATTGAACTATGTCCGGGCAGCAGTAGCTCAACAGGTTGAGCAGGTTGTCTAGTAATTGGAAGGTTGCAGGTTCGATCCCATTCTGCTGTTGTGTCCTTGGGCAAGACACTTAACCCACCTTGCCTGCTGGTGGTGGTCGGAGGGACCGGTGGCGCCTGTGCTCAGCAGCCTCGCCTCTGTCAGTGCGCCCCAGGGCAGCTGTGGTTATAGTGTAGCTCATCACCAATGTGTGTGTGAATGGATGAGTGATACACTGTAGTGGCTTTGGAGTCCTTACTCTGAAATGCGCTATACAAGTACGGGTCATTTATCATGTATCATATGTGATCTCGGGTGTGTATTTATCTCTATATAAATAAGCTAACATGCATTAGAACACATGTACTATAATATCTGGTGTGTACACATAATTAGAGCTGTCAACGCCTAATGCAGACTTGTGCAAAATGAGGACAGTTTTAAATTACAATACTTCTCTGTGATTTTGCTCAACATCTAGTCATTTGTTTCATTTAACTGAGGTAAATGAATAAATCTGAATCTTGAGATCCTTACCTTTGGGAATCTCTGTGATGTTGGTGTCTGCAATTCGGATGTAAGAAACCCTTTTCAGGTCAGAAAAGGCACCTGCCTCGACTCCTGCACCCTTCAGAGGGTTGGACCCAAGCTCTAGAAAAAGAAAAGTGTATGTGTTACCAAAAACTACCACCAGTCTCAGACAGAACCGTAATTGGGTCAATACTTTTACAACAGCAAGATAATGATTCTGCAAGTCAAACTTTTTTCAATAAATTCATATTTTTTCATCTATTAAAGAGTATCTTTGGGAAAAAGTAGTTAATTATTTAACGATTATAAAGCCTTTCTAAAAGACATTATCACATCTTCATGCAACAAACTGTAATCTTGAGTATAAAGCTTTTCACCACAATGCCTTCTGGTTAGATGAGGAGTTTGCTTCTTCTATGGAAGCCAACTAAAACAGTTTTGGCACAGTGGCACAGGCTCAATGGAAACCTGCTGGCCATGGTTCTCTTGAATGGGACCAAATGTGCCAATTATAAGCAAAACTGAGCCAAATTCAGACACCTAAAACTGGATCATAGCTCAAACTCCCCTGGTGATCTGCTGCCACCAAGTCAGTTTGGCCAGAACTAGAAGTTAGCAACGTTACACAGAGAAAGCAGTTTTTCATTGGTCTCCTACCCATGACGATGACTTGAGACATGCCCTGGAATGAAGCTTTTTTGATTTTGGTGATCTCGTTATCGTGGATGCGAAGCTCGTGCAGGCTCTTGGGCATGTTGGCGGGCATCTCCTTCAGGAAGTTCTTGGACAGGTAGAGGCGCTCCAGCTTGATCAGAGGAGTGAGAGCTTTGGGGTGGATGGTAGTGATCTTGTTGTTCACCAGGATCAGAGTCTAGAAGAAAAAAAAGCGGGGACATCGTCTGATTACACTGGTAACATCTTAGATATGGGCTAAGTTATGAGACAGACCCACATTTAACACACTCAGAGTTTGGCTTCCTTTGCTATTGTTGAGATTAAAATCAGATTTTTCTGTTTTTATACTGTTTGAACCTTGTTTTTGACTTTATCTCTTGGTGTTCATGACTTATTCCACTTAGAAACGTCCATTCTAAATTCTCTGACTCTGTGCCAGAACGTAGAAAGATAAAAAAGCCAAGTTCAAGTCCTCCACGGGTCATCCATAAAGTATTTTAAACTGGAAAAGAGACAGAATGCTATGAATGGTATGCAAACTTTCCCCCTCAGGAGGCCAGTTGTGTTGGAGTGGAAACAGCCCCGGCTGTCAGGTGGTGATATTTATTCCAATGGAGAAAGCTCCAGTTGGGAGGCTTAGGACTGAGTGGTCAGCTGAGGTAGAAGATGTGTTTGAGTTAAGGAGGAGTCGTCCACAACAAAATATTCAAACCAAGTTGTAGAAACTTGCCCTTGTCTTTCCTTCAACTCTTCTTCTTTTCAGGAAGACACAATAAAGAGAGTAAAAGCTTCTTGGTTTCATTTAGTGGGTTTAAACTAAATGCTGACACCACATCCACCAGTTACAATAAGCCTTGCTCTTTTTGTTTTATCAAAACATGCTGCAGGTATTTCATTTTTATATTCGCGAGGATTTAAACATTTAGAAGTTTCTGTTACCAATAAGACCAGAAAGTATGTAGCTGCATAAAAAGACTCATGTGGAGTGCTGACAAAAATGAAGTGAGAAACACGGATTCATTTGAAAGAATTAAGGTTTAATTTTTGAAGTTAGACCAGGGTTATTGTGACATGACACCACTAAACACAAACTGTGTGGACATGAGGCTGAACACATGGATGTTGATTACCTGTAGCCCTTTGAGGTTCTTGAAATCCTTCTCTTTGATCTCAGTAATCTTGTTGTTCTGCAGGTCCAGGAGGGAGGAATCCTCGGGAATATCGTCAGGAATGGTCTTCAGACCTGATGGAAATTTGAATAAACAGATGCTAAATGGAAACAGCCTGCAACAGAGCCCTCTTCCAGACACTTTCATCCATCCATCTACATTCATCCGCTTGTGCAGGGTTGGGTCATGAGGGCAGCAGCCTAAGCAGAGAGGTCAAGATTTCCTTCTCCCCAACCACTTGGGCCAGCTCCTCTGGTGGAATCCCAAGGCGTTCCCTGGCTGAGAAACAAAGTCCCTCAAGCATGTCCTGGGTCTTACTTTAGACCTTCTCCCGATTGGGTTGATCGAAAAACCTCATCAGGGAGGCGTCCTAACTAGATGTCCGCGCCACCTCAACTGGCTCCTCTCAATGTGGAGGAGCAGCAGATCTACTGCGAGCCCCTCTCGGGTGATTGAGCTTCTCATCCTATCTCTAGGGGGAGCCCAGCCACCCTGAAACGAAAACTCATTTCGACCGCTTGTATCCGTGATCTCATTCTTTCGGTCACTACCGTGACCATAGGTGAGGGTAGGGACGTGGATCGACCGGTAAATCGAGAGCTTTGCCTTCCGGCTCTGCTCTCTCTTCACCACAACAGATTGGTACAACACTCGCATCACTGCAGACATGGCACCAATCCACCTATCAATCTCGCCCTCTACCTTTCCCTCACTCGTGAACAAGACCACAACACTTTGACCTCTAAAAGTCACATTCACCCACTCACACACATTTTTACCCCTGATTCACATATCCAGGGGGCTACATGAGGTTCAGCATCTTGCCCAAGGACACTTTGACATGTGGTGAGGAAGCTGGTATCAAAACTATCACTTTTTTGATTGGCATACAACCTCCCATGGGTACACATTCGTTGTGCTACACCACGGGGCTGTAGAGCGCTGGTTTCCCCAATATGAGGATTTTTTGGCTTCCTTAGCCAAAAGAACTCTTCCCACATAAGAATTCAATTGAAAGGAGACAGATTATGACTTTAAAATGAGTTCTAATACACATATGTTCTGTACCAAACATGTTTATGAAGTCCTATTCTCTACATCCCTCTCTCATAAACAAATTTCAGAAATTTTATTCTTGACAGTTTCAGTGCCTTCAAGAGTTCTAGGGCTCTGTCATTTTAGGATAACAAGCTGGAGCTGGCCACGCCCACCAATGCCAGACAGACTGCTATGAGCTGAGAAGCTCTGCTCTTCTAGAAGCTGCCGCTATCCTCCACGTGGAAGGCGATTCTTCTCAAACGGCTTGTTTTTGGCACATAATTCCTAAAACCAAACACTGACATAAAATGGATTGATGTTATTTTTTCATTATTGGAGTGTTTTTAGAGGCAGGAGAGACCCACATGGCAAAACAAAAGGATGTAAAAGGTTATTTTTGCACAATATATCCTGTTCTAACACCTGACCCTTTCAACACTAATCAGTATCGCCAAGTGACCTTTTGTACTATTCAGATGTTAAAGGAAGCTATTCCTCTAGCAGCACACTTTCTCCAACAATAACATCACAATGACTTTGTATGACTTTGAAAATCACTCATGAGACTCGATGTCTGCCTAATCAGAGCAGGGATCATCTCTTGAACTTTCATCTAGCATCCTTAAGACCAGGGCCGGATTATCATTGCAGGGGCCCCTGGGCACAATGTGCTTTTCCTGTTGTGCCTCACTCATATATCTTTCTTCCTCTGTCCTCTTTCTTTTCTCCTCTTTATCTGTCTCTCTCTTCCTCACAGTGCTCCTGTCTTCTCTTCTGTCTCTACTAGCAAAAATGTTTCCAATCTGTGGGACAGTAGCGGCAAGAGTCTGCTGTAAAAGAGATCCCACTGTCAAAGTACAACAGAAATTAATGCAGGATTATGTAAAAGATGATACAGTTATTGAAAAGTTTGCAAAGAAGAAATATCTTTATGTTTTTGTTTGTCTCCTGTCTCCTTCCTCCTCTTGTCTCCTGTCTCCTTCCTCCTCTTGACTCCTGTTTCCTTCCTCCTCTTGTCTCCTGTCTCCTTCCTCCTCTTGTCTCCTGTCTCCTTCCTCCTCTTGACTCCTGTCTCCTTACTCCTCTTTTTTCCCCTCTTGTTGGTCTCCTCTCTTGCCTTCACAAAAACTACTTTCTGGCCTTTCTATTAGTAAATTCATTTACAACGTCATCAAAGTCCAGATTCCTGACAAGCTGAGATTCATTAGCCATCAGTGACTGCACTGAGGCGCTGTTGAGTTAGTGTTGTTCTCAGTTCATTTTTTATTCTTGTCATTTGTGAAAATGATCGTTCCCCTCACAATTTGTAACTGGTAGAGTTAGAAAAACCCGCAGGGCCACAAACATATTAGTGAAGATGGACTGTAGACAATTTTTTAGCCCGAAAACGATCCTGGTACTGCTTATATTAAATTATCTATGTGCTCTCTGCAGGGATTATTTAGAGCTGAGAGGCGCAGAGCTCTGATCGTTGATGCGCTCCAGACAGATGTGTCCTGAGAACGGCTGCAGTAACATTATCAAAGTGTCACCACCTCAAAAACAAAGTTAACACACGATTGTTCATGTCGGCACATATCCTTTCATGCTTTCTGTCTTTTCTTTGTGTCTGATGCGTTTCGCTGCTGCGGAGCAGCGCATCACCTTTTTCATCCTCCAGTGACTTCACCGCACTGTTGTGGCCGGCGCGCACTCCGCGATTTTTGCAGTCGGTAGATCTTTTAGAACTGCAGTTCAAAGGTAACTCATAAGGTGAATATATATGAACCCAGGTAGCAGTTTTTCTTTAGGATTGAGAGGAGATGCAGGAAGATAATAAACAGACAGGACAGAAAAATAGTCAAATAAAAACAAGTTCGTTTTTGTACCTGGTGGTTGCAACAAAGACACTATTAAAGGTAATCAGAAGTGAGGAACAGAAAATGAAATGATTCTTTCAATGTTTAGATCAGCAGGAACTCTGAGAGGCTGCAGGCGCATCAGTGAGTTTGCGGCCGCTGCGCTGGGGAGGGGGGAGAGGGCTGAAGCAGGCAGTAAAGATGCAAAAACTACCGTTGTTAAAAGAAATGTCTGTTAACTTAGAAAATGCGGGCGCAAGTTTAATTACTTATTAACTTTTTTCTCCAACATTAAGACTGCGGCACAAAAAATGAATAAATAAATAAAAAAAGACTGCTGCTCGTGTGGGCCCCCTTGTGGCTGTGGGCCCCTGGGCCTGTGCCCAGTTTGCCCATATTATAATCCGGCCTTGCTTAAGACCAGAGAAGATCTCAGTCTTGTGTAAAACTATTGTTATGATTCTAATAAATTATATAGTTGTCAGTTTTGACTCTTGTCAAGCTAAATATCTTTTTTCAGTATTTTTGTTGAATGCATCATGTAACACATCCCTCAGGGTGAGATGCAAGGATAGTGATGGTGATGTTTAAGTGGTGAACATCTTTTCCTTCATGCCATCTGTTGAAAAGAAACCATAAAAAATGATGTGCTTGTGTCAAAGAGTTTAACTTTTGGTACATCTTGTGACATTTTCAGAGCTTGACTTGTTTTAACAAAAATATTTAATAACGGAGGAATAAAACTTTACTTTGAACAGATTTGGGGTTTTCCGCTCTTAAAAATTGCGGCGTTCCGAAAGGGACTAAACTCTGTCACGCTCTGAGGGACATATGGTGGAAATTGTCCTGAAAACAAATTTCCTTCGGAATAAATATGCAAGTGCATACCTGAACAGCAAAGTCACATGGAAATTATTTTACTTGGACTTATGCGTCACACACGAGACATTGTGACCATGTCTTGTGCTATAGAAGACTTTTAAAACCATCCTCGCACAAATAGAAGATTAATCTTTGCTGCTGCAAAGTGACGGGAAATTAACAAAGACTTTGTGTCCCCGGTATTTCTGGACAAAGTTTGGCTCAAAAACTTGGGATGACTTCTTCAAACATCACCTGCAAATTGATTCGTTTTCCTGTCTGCTTTTCCAGCTCCACAGTGAATGACCAATAAACCCTCACAGCTGTTTGTGGTCACGGCTCAGACTCACTCTATACCTCTTCACTTGCACAAACATTCCTTTTTTTAAATCATTCTTGTATATAAATAAAGGCAATCACAGACTTTGTTGCTCAGACTTTGCTGGGTTCCTTGGAGCACATCAGTTTGAAAATATACAAGTTTCTTTAAAGAACAAGTCTCATCCTATCTCCCCTACCAGAGTATTATTCCACTCCCAGTTCCTGTTTGAAAAATGCAACAAATGCTGTTGCCTTCCACAACCTCCCACCAAGATGCCATAAATTACGAAGGAAACAAATGTGCAAATCACAATAAACTTTATTATTTATTTATTTATTTATTTATTTATTTCTCTCAGGCTTAAGCCACCAGCAAACTCCATCAGTAAACTAAAACTAATCGTGAAGATGGATTTTCCTTGACCATTCAGTCAAGATTGTGAGTGTTTGTACTTTTCTCTTCAGAGAACGTCTCACTGTGATGTTGCCAGCTAAGAAATCCACATTTCCAAAGTTTTTTTTAAGCTGGACTTTTTTTTCTTGTGTGTGCATGTGTGTGTGTGTGTGTGGATGCGAGCTGTTCTGGGAACCAAATTTGGCGCTCTGATGCAGGAGGAAAAAAAACATTGCTGCTGTTTGTCCTGAATGGATGAACGATGTAAAGAATCTAGTCTCTGTCAGTCTGACACTTGCAGATCAGCTCCACCTGCAAAGTCAGCTCAGAGTTCACGCTCTGACCCCAACCTTCTCTTCTTCACTCATGTCTGTCTGCTCTTCTTTTGTTTTATCATGGCAGAATCACCAGTTGGTGTTCCTCCCGGCTGCTTCTCATCCAAAGAACAAGCCTCTCCTTCTCCAAACAACACCAGAGCCAAAAAGCCAATCAATCACCACAGCTTATCTTGCACTTTTATGTAATAAGCAGGAATCACTAAAGAGAGGGATTTTTCTGGAACTGTTTTACATCAGATTAAACACATTTGATGTGCTGGAAACAACAAAAAGCGACAACTGAGTAAATTGTTTTGACTATGATGAGGTAAAAAAAAAAGTAAATGTAGTCTTTAGAAACTGGGGTTTGTTCAGGACTTTCCAAAAATCCAGAATATCCTTTAATCTTCACCCGTGTTTAGGAAAACAAATTGCTCTGAAACTGTAGATAATGCATCAGTTACAGGAAGTGAAGTAAGACTCACAGCATCTGCGAGTGATTAACAAATCAACAGTGGCCCCGTGTTCTCCAGAGGATTTTGCAGCCATGTGTTACACACTACACCCCTCAAATGACCCAGTAAGTCTGGGTGGAGGGAGTTTACAGCTTCTTCTGCTATTAAAATAACAGCAATAGCTAAAAGTTCAATGAAACTACAGCAGCTGTCCTGTCTGACCTCAACGCCTCGTCCAATAAACTCGTCTCTGTCTTACAGTAAAAAGCAACATTAAAACCCGATTCTCAGCACAGTTGTGTTTTCTTGGGAGTGCAGTTTTGTCAGACCAGGTTCTGCAAACCACAAGTATGTGTAAAGTCAACTTTTTTGGGAATTGTTTTGATGCGCGGAAGTCCCCCTTTAGTGATTCAGAAAGCAATTACTCTATCAGGAGAGACTGCCCCATAAGGGAGAGATCCCAACGCTGGAGGGGTGGTGGAAGCTGATTGCATGATAATGCTGAACTTTAACTAAAACCATATGTTGTACCAAAGTAGGGATGACATATAAGGTGGTAAAATTACACGTTTGTGCAAATAAAATTGCAAAATCAAAGTCAAACAGCTTTGTTGTGGTTGATGTGCACATTTCCGGCTAGTGAAGGATTTGCAACTTCCTGGTAAAACTCTCTTTAGGGAGAGGGTCTCATTTTTAAGTTGCTCGCTACAGAGATGAGAACGATCTTTCCGCAGCCTCATTTGTTTACTTCTCAGCCATGAGTGGGTTGTTTAATTTTAAATATAACAACTCAACGACAGCATTTAGGTTTGATCTTCTGATTACAAATTTCATGTTTTCTCAAAAATCTTATATATTAATGCATTTTTTAAAGTTTAAATACAAAACTGGAACTTGTTTGTCAAATATTTAGCACTTTTTGATAAAAAATGTTAAGAGTACACATTTATGCTTAGCAGAAATGTATCATTGTTCTAGTTCTTTATTTTTGTACCATGCATCATGAACCTGAGCAGCTGGGCAGCCTTGATGCATATCTATTTTGGGCATCTTGAGACACCTGAAGTGTGTCTACTTACCAAGATCCGAGCACTGGATCACACGTCGTTGGCACTGGCATCTGAAGGGGCACTTAGGTCCACTTATTTCAGGGAGTTCTGGTTCCTTTGGTGGCGGAGGTGTACCTGATCCAGGCTCATCTTCCATCATGAAGTCTAAGAAGCCAGTTTGGTGGAAGGGCAGAGCCCAGCAGGATGTGATCAGGAGCAGGGAGAGACAGGCTGTCTTCATGGTGCTGCTAGCAGAGCCTGCAACACATTTAGGATGTTTGGGTGGATAGAGAATTAGATTAGGAATCATCAGTTTCTTACATAATTTATAAATAATTATCAGGCTGTTGCTGAACAAAATCAAAGGTAAACAGAGGGATGCTGGATGAAACTTTAGGGTGGAACAGAAGACGAAAGATAAATGTTTGTTTTCTCTGGGGCTTCATGGTGGTCACAGGGTGAAATTCCAGCTCCAGCCATTCTAACGCAGGGTTAGCATTTTTTCCCATGAATTTGTGGGTTTCCTTCAGGTACTCGTGTTTCCACCCCAGACCAAAAACATGCATGTTAGGTTGATTGGCAAAGCCTATATTGACCCTAGGTGTGAGTGAATGTTATTGATTGTCTTTGTGTGTCAATGTGAATCAGTTTAATTGTTTTTGTTTATAAAGTCTCTTCCACAACCTTATCAGAAGCCCAAGGTGCTGAAAACCACCATAAAAGACATGAGAAGAACAGAACAAATATCACAAGGTCATAGAACAGTAGAAAAAGAAACAATAGAAATAATAAAATGCAGAAAGAGTTGAAAATAATCAGATAAAAACAAGAGACGAAGATAAGAACAAAGTAAAAGAAATTAAAAACACCAAGCCAGTGTCATGGACCCTATGGCTGAAAGGCTACCAAATAAAAGGAAGACTTGAAGAGGTGGTGCCTGCTTGATTCTTAATGGCAACTCCTTCCACAGAGTTGGGGTCAAATCCGAGAATGCACGACCCCCCCCCCCCCCCCCCTCGATCTGCATTTGGAGCAGGGGGACTACTAGCAACTCCTCCTCAGCTGAGCAAATAGACTGAAAGGGGACATGCCTGTGAAATAGTGCAGAAAGATAAGGGGGAAGCACTGCCCCGAAGAGCCCTGTACACAAAAAGCAGGATCTTAAATTTAGCTACTGCACTGAGAGCCAGTGCAGAGTAGCCAACACTGGAGTGATGTGATCCCTGCGTTGATTACCGTTAAAAAAATCTAGCTCCCAAGTTTTGGATGAGTTGGAGCTGTGCAACCGTGCCCTGACTCATTCCAGCATATAAAGCTTAACAGTAATCCAGCTAGGACAGGACAATAGCATGAAGCACACACTCCAGATGAGCGTGCAACAGTAAAGACTTGATTATGGATAGCTGTCGTAGATAAAAAAAAAAATGAGACCACACATGCTTATTGATTTGTGTGTCAAACTTGAGGGCTGATTAGATTTAATAACCAAATTGCTGAATCCTTTCCTTTTGCACAGGGACAAAGACATGAGGTCAACATCTAAATCCCAAACCATCAATTCTATTGTGACTTTCATTTTGCTTTTTGTTCAAGTGCAAAAAAGTTAGAAGCCATCCAGGATTTAATGTCCTTCAAACAGTCCAGTAGTGGAGAGACAGATCCACCTACCCCCGGCCAGAGGGGAAGGTAGATCTGGCCATCATCAGTGTAGAGATGGAATTTCACACTGCTGACAAAGAGAACCCCTGGGGAGCAGATACACTGCAAACAGGAGGGGACCAAGGACAGAGCTGTGTGGCGCACCCCAGCAGAGTCTCACCCAGGGGTGATATAGCCTCACCCATCCAAACAACGAAGCTCCTGCCTTGGAGGTAGGAGCCCAGTGGTCCCCACCCAGTGCTGTAATCAGTCCAGAAGGATGTCATGGTTGACCATGTCAAAATCTGCAGTTGGATCCAACAACAAGACAACAGCATCATCCATATCACAAGCTAAAAAAGTATCATTTAGAACCATTAAAAGAGCAGTCTCAGTTCTGCCCAACCCTGAGTGATCAAAACAGCTACCAGCTGTGAATACACGACCCTCTCCAGCAGCTTCTAAAGGAAAGGGAGTTTCGAGATGGACCTGTAGTTAGCTTAAATTGTTGAATTCATCCCAGGCTTTTTCAACACAGGATGAACAACTGCTTTCTTCAATGAGGTTGAAACCACACTGGAAGTGAGACTACCATTTATAAAGAAAAAAAGCCACCACTGGGAACATTTTCTTGCCGAGTTTAGGTGGCAAAACATCACAGGGAGAGCCAGATGGCTTTAGTCGAGTGATCAATTGTTCTAACTCAGATAAAGACTCAAATGTCACCAGTATAGTCCAGTAAGGTACTGGGACCACAGTGACAGGTGGCGAGTTTGCAATAACAGCTTGAAAAAGCGTGACTTATCAATAACAAAATGAAGGAAGTCGATAAATGACCCGCACTTGTATAGCGCCTTTCAGAGTCAGAGGACTCCAAAGTGCTTTACACTACAGTGTTTCATTCATCCATTCACACACTCATTCACACACTGGTGGTGATGAGCAGCAGCACAGCCACAGCTACCCTGGGGAACACTGACAGGGTAAGCTCCTAAGTGCTAAGTGGCACTGAGTTTGGCTTTTCCCCTTCTACGCACAAAGTCTCACCTAACTCAGCAGTCTTAGTGGCGTTTAAAACACAACAACGTCTCACATGAGGATATGTCGGAGCAGGTAAGCAGGGTAATTTAAAATGACATAAGATGGGTAACTGAGTACCTGATCAGAAAAAACAGGGCTCAAAATTTTCGTCAACAGCAGGAAGACCAAGAGCACCAAATACAAGGTGTGTCTTAGTGCATGGGTAGGACCGACGGCCCACTGCGACTGATTAAACAAACTCAGTAGGTGTCGAATGTCTTTAGCTGTTGGCTTATCAGGGCAGCACATATGTTATTACATTTACCAAGAATCATAACGAGATCATACTTTAGCAGGTTTACAGCCAGGATGTCTGAGAAGTAGAAGAGGGTAGATCTGATGGAAAAAGCTGTCAAGTTAATATAAAACAAGATTTATAAATGACAAGCAGCCCACTGCCTCTGCCAGAAGACCTTGGGACAGTAAAATAGCTACAATCTGGTGAAAGCTCCAACAAGGCACTCAAATCCCCCACAGGCAGCCAGTTCTCACTGATATGTAGAAATTCCAGACCCTGTGAAACAACAAAATCTGTGAAAATAAAAGTTTTGCTCATTACTGACATGGTGTTTACCAGACCAAACCGGATAAGCAGCAAGACCATTAATCCAGCCCAAGCCCAAAGTTGAAAGCTATAATAAAAAAACAATAAAAACTACCCCCTACTCCCACTCCCAACAAAGAAACAAACAACCCCCCCGCAAAATTCATAAAACACAAAGATAAAAACAAATGTGCCAGTAAAATGTACAGACGACCCAGGACAGGAAATACAGCTAAAAAAAAGTCTTGAGCCAACTGTTAATAACATCGACATTCACGTCGGCCCTTGGGTGACTGTTCCACAGATGGGGGCTGTAATACTGGAAAGAGGCCTCTCCATGAGAGTTAGTTCTTACCCTTGGGACTGTTAAAAGGCCTGCGTCAGATGGTGATGGGGTTCACAAATTAAAACAGCTTTGCAAGATAACTGACCCAAGACCATTCAAGTGACAACGTGTAGTGAGCCCACTTGCTGGTCTTGGTTGGCACAAGCAGAAGGGTTTGGTAACAGCTGAAGAATGGACATGTTTCTCTGGGGTGACCAGAAAGCCGGGCATTGCAATCAAAACAGAAAATGGCAGAGCCTGGGTAGGGTTTTTAATAAAACTTGACTACATGTTTGAAGTGTTTAGTTAAATTGAACTCGGAGTGAAAACGAACCTCTAGGCTCCTGGGTTGTTTGAAAAGAGCAAAAGACAGGGTTTCTCATGTCTGATGTGTGTTTTCTCTCCCTCTATCAATGACTAAAGCTTTAGTTCTACCCTTAAACATTTTCTGTACGTTCATTTTGTGTATCTTTTCAACTTGGTTCTCGTTAAACACAGAAAATAAACTGTCCTTTTTTGTCCTGTTGGAGTTGCAGAAACCTCTCTGTAATCCAGGCTGCTGTATCTAAGATGTTTAACCCCCAGAAACCCAAATTTAGAAAACAACTGCAAAATCTTTTTTTAACCTTTCACACGTTGTTCTAGGAGGCCAGATAAACGGGCCTATTTACACATTTTAACAGCCAATAGTGTTGCAGAACTGAACATTAGGACCTATTAGCAATGTAAATGTGATTTTAAAAAGAAAAAAATGGGGAAGGTTTATTTTTGTAGACTTAAAATGGGGCCTCAGGAAACATGGAGATGTCCTTAGCATAACTGTGGAAGCTATTTGTTTGCTTCATGAATACCCCATCAAGTGTCTGCATCCACAGAAAAAACAAACAAACAAAAAGGCCCAATATACAGCCTTGAGGAACACCACTGCTGGCCTCGTGGATCTGTTTGTAGCATGTGATTACCATAAATGTGCAAACTATTCTTTGATTGATTAAAAACAAGCTACAGAGTTCAGGTTTGTTTATGTGAAGTGAAACATTGATGAACTAAACTGAATTGAACAACCACATACTGTAGGTGCACAATAATATCATTAGTTTTGGCATTTTGACTTTTTTTTTAAATAATTGAATCAGACAAAGCAGTTAAAATAGCAGGAAGACTGTTAATTAAAATGTTCAACCACCTCAGGGCTTCTCTGCACTAAGACATCAACAATAGAGGCCAAACCAGCTCAAGGGCGTGTCCCCTGTTGTGAGACGGCTGCTTGGCATGTTGAAAAAAATCATTACATAGCCAAAAACAGTTAAGGTAGTAATTCTGGTGCATTATAGGCATGCAGATTAAAACCACCAGTCACAATAAGTCTATTTCACTTAGCATGGCTGGACACTGAAAACTCAGTTTTCCAGGTGACCTGTAGACACAAAGTCTTTTTAGAGCTGTTAAAACAAATGTGTGATGCTCAAATGAACTCTCCAGGATGTCCTCCACCTCTGGCCTGGCGACCGTTGGTCATAGGTGGTTCAGAAAATGAGTGAGGGATTTTTCCCTCTTCAAAAAGGAATGACGGTGCACTGAATGAATTTGACCTTTAAAAGGTGTCAAAGAAACTAGCTGTCGCTACATCTGTATGAGGTTCACAGCGACACACCGAGTTTCACATTTTGT